TTTTGGACACCTAAGTGTAAGCTCCAAGACCCTCTTATCCTGTTTCCCGCCCCACCGGGTTTATAGGAGACCCAAGCCCAGAGGCCTATGCTAACCAGGTCGACTGAGAGCACGCAGGGAACGGCAAGGGACGATGACAGGAAACCTGACGTGGGTTACCCGGCAGACACTCAGGATGGCGACGGAAGGGATCCGACCGAGTTGCTGTCGTTGGAAGATGACCCTTGCGAAGACGACCAGTGGGTGAGTCACCAGCCGACAGGGCGGAAATCCAGCGGCGTAGGACTAGCACCAGCCTGGGAAGCGAGTGCCCGCAATGCTGGGGGCAGGGAGGCACTCCAGCTGCTACAGGAAGCCTGGCAGAGGTTGCAGCGGCTGGGGCAACAGGACGCGGTAGATCTGCGGGATGAACAGGAGTTTCTCGAAGAGGTCGTCTGTTTGCTCCCAGATCCTGAAGACTTCCAACCAGGAAGGATACGTCTACATGTTGCAGTGTGGCGAGTGTTCTTTCAGGCAGCTAACGAAGGCCGGCCCCTCACGGACAAACAGAAACGGTGGCTGGGATACCTGCAGGGCGGAATTCAGCTGGAGTGGGTGCCGTGCGACTACCCAGGGCAAGAACTAGCCCCGGAGCGGGGATGCAAGCTAGCTATAGTGCGGGAAATGCTGCGGGTCGCGGTGCCGGATTGTGACCTAGACTTTATCATGGCGGGTGACCGGCCGCGAGCAGTTTCCTAACCATCGCAGCGCGACTCAGCACAGTGAGTTTGTTACAGCCGAATTGTAATGTAATGTAATGTTACAGAGTGGGAGGCTTCTGGGCCGCTTTATCACATTGTCAGTTCTAGATCATTTATCACCTTATAGCACCATCCACCACTACCACACTGTACTTCGCCATACGAACTGTTAGTCCAAGGCGGCGGATCCAGCCTTCAGGGACCCCTCCTCATCCATTCACCCGAACACCCGAAGAGACGGAGGGTTCGGCAATCGCCACCAATCTAGCGTGCGAATCTGGTCCATCAACTGTGACCTCAACTCCACATCTCAGCAGCTAGCCATAATCTCGCGCTCCCGACTAATTCGGGGGTCTCCCCAGGAATCGAACCCAGGACCTTAAACTGCTAATTGCAGTAGTGTCAACCCAGACCAGACCGAATTGAGAAAGGCCCTTGACCGAGGGGTGATACGGAAATGGCCAGCAGACGCCCCCCCCCCACGGTTATCAATGGCTTGCGGGTAGTGGAAAAAGATGGCAAGCTGCGCCTCTGTATTAATCCGATGTATATTAACTGTTTCTTGAAGTACCGGCCTGTGAAGTACGAACGACTGGCAGATGTACCTAGCTACCTCCTACCGGAAGATTGGCTGTACACCACGGACCACAAGAGCGGGTACTGGCAGCTATCACTCCACGAACGGGAGCACACATATCTGGCTATGCGGTGGCGGGGGCAGACGCTTTTTTGGCCACACCTGCCGTGGGGCGGTGGTACGGCTGCTGGCGGCCCTAGGCTTCACCCTCAGCCTGTCCAAGTGCCAGCTGATCCCAAGAAGGCGAGTCTGTTTCTTGGGGATGGAGGTGGATGCGGAGGCGCAAGCATTCAGAGTACCAGACGACAAGCTAGCTAGATTCCGTACGCTGCTCACACAGCTCGAAGGCAAACGGCTAACAGCGCGGCAGGTGGCGCAGGTGGCCGGCAAAATCATCGCCATGACGCCCGCCGTCACCACGGCACCCCTGTATGCGTGGATGGTGTGGTGTGTAG